CCAGGAGCTATGGATTGATAGAGTTACAGGAAGGGTTTGTATGGCGATTTCGGCGAGAGGAATGGCTATAACTGGAATTGAAGATCGGAGATACTGGAATTGGATTCCAACGGAAGAATCTAGGTACACAAATCAGTGATTGAATCTATATAGAATTTCTTTTAGAAGATCAACAAGTAGGTATCGAAGATCATCACAATACTTGGTTTGTGATATTGTTATTTTGACCTGAAATTTCATTAGCTGTTGGTCCTTTGATTACTCAGGGTTTTCGCCTAGGGGACTTAGAACAGTGATCTCTTAAACATATCAAAATAAGGCTTGAAAAGTTAGTGTGAAGTTTACTGTTCGATTAGTGGCTTGTTTTCTCTTAGATTGTTAGGGATGACTCTCTGCTTTTGAGTTTTGATTAGTAGCTAATATAGACAATAATTATCGTAATTATTGATTTGAGGTGCTATTGTAGTGAAGATTCATCTCCACTTGCAAAATGATTAGCCTAGTGACATAACGATATCAAAGTTTCTGCGGTGTGAATTAACATCAGGTTTGTGTGAGACTGATGGGTGCTTAGCCACATCATAAAGATTCTAGTTATGCTCTATGTAAACGATGCATCTATCAATGTATCGGTTTGTTTTTCGTTTGTGGTTGTGGAAAAAAAAAAAAAAGTAAAATCCTTTTTGAATCTTTCCCTTAACAGGTTCCATGTTGTAGCCTACTTACAACAGATTTGGTGGTTTGAAGTTGATGGAACAGTGAGATTCCATCTCCCACCTGGTATCTACTCTTTATCATTCAGAATCCATCTCGGGAGATTCACGAAAAGGCTGGGACGACGCGTGTGTCACTTTGAACACACTCACGGCTGGGATTTAAAGCCTGTAACTTTTTCGCTTTCGACCTCTGATGGTCAAGAAGCATCATGTGAATATTACTTGGAAGACTTAGAGAGAGAAGAAGCGCTCGGGCAACACAAGCGCGGTTGCTGGATCGAGTATCGGGTCGGGGAATTCGTAGTGAAGGGATCGGAACCATTGACTGAAATCCAATGGTCCATGAAACAGATTGACTGCACGCACTCGAAAGGCGGGTTATGTGTTGATTCAGTCTTCATAAACCCAATTGGTGATGTGAAAGAATACAAAAAGAAGAAGATTTTGTGAAATAGCTTGGAAGAAGGAAGATCACAAAGTACACCAAAAAAAAAAAGAGAGCTTATGATTCTTTGAAGGTAATAACATTACCGTACCGTTGTTTAATTTCTTAGTGGTTTTTATCGTCGTTTTACCTGGTTCCCAAAATTAGGGTCTATCGAGTCGGCGATACAGTGAAATTTCATTTTATTTATTGTGCATTTCATCGAGTTTTTTGTTTTTGTTTTGTTATTACTTCATAGTTCATACCCATCGTGTTACATAATTTTAGGCGAGAGACGACTTTTTTTTTGTGTGTGTGTAAGATGTTTATGCAGTAGAAAAAGTCTTTTTTGTGTATAATCATGCATGTTTAAGTTTGTTTACCAAGACTAAATGAGTATCTGTATCCAACCAGAATTTCTAAAATATCTTCTGTCCTGTGTATGACTAATTCTTATTATTTTGTGACTCGTTTGTTTATCATATCCAAGAACCAAGATGGTATATTGGTACGCATAGGATTGGATCGTATAATACAAGCAGCTATATAAAAAGCTTATCTAATTAAGATGTTTGAGAACTATCAAGGAGATACATTATTTGAAAACAGATTAAATGAGAAGTCAAGAGTCAAGACAGTGAACATACAGAAACGAATTACATATATGCTGTAAATATCTACCATACAATCTATAATGAAACATAATTTCGTATTGTGCATGATCTACATTTTTTATCCTTATTTTTGTAGAATTCTACGTAAGGAATGATATGATACAAAAGGGAAAAGTCAAGACAATGAGCGTAAATTTTTCATGTAAA